AGTATGCAGCATGTTGCAGCTTCAACCTCGCTGGTATAGTGAGCAGAGGGTGGAATGCTGCCCACGTACAGTTTGGACAGTATAAGGCAAGCAAGGTAGACAAACAAGCTGATTCTCAGGAAACACTCGTATATCATATCATACAAATTCAACAAGTATTGATAATTTCACCCTACCAGTCTGGATGCCCTGACAATGACCTGTTTTGCCGTCCTGGCCAGATGGCACCCTTCGGACCCTTGTCGAATTGTCCGCAGGGACCCCCCCCATTCATGTCCTTGTTCCGGAAGCTAACACAAGCAGAGTTTTTGCTTTGGTTTACTTCTCGGCCTGACAGCCTGGCAGCCTGGAAGCAGGGCGGGTCCCCCAAAAAAGTCCAGGAGGACGTTCCTAGGGCGGGGGCGGGGGGGGGCCGGCGCCTTTTATTCACTGGGGGAATGGGGTGCGATTGATTTCGCGTTCTTTCTGTGAGGAATGTTACCTCACGTCAAGATGACATTTGCTTGCAAAACAAATCCTTCTCACCATTTGCTTTGATAGGCATTTGCATACAAGGTTCGTAAAGGAATTTCTCTGAATGAACTTCAATCCTGAACAATAAGCCCTCTTGGATTTGTCCGTATCTAGCAGGGCGTTGTGAACAACATTGCTGGACTTCCCATGGGCCTTGTCCTTTTCTTGGCCGCTTGAGACGGCGGCACTGCGGTTGCTTTGACGATGCGTATTGTGACGAAGGATTTGTTGAAATATGGCGAGGCTTCAGATTGCAACCATCGCCTGGCGATGGTGCCCCAAAGCCCCAAAGGTCCGACCAATGTGGTTCATGGTGAGTCATGAGCGAAGTGCCGCGCCGCTTTGAACTCCCATGGCAAAGCGGCATGGGTTGGCAGAATCAAAAGTTGTACCACCAGATCCCCGAAATTTGCCCCTTAAGGATAAGCCACACAATATGGTTAAATCGGGGTAAATTAGCTCCGTGGCTAAACTGTCATGTGTCTTCCTTGGGGTTTGGTCTGGGGATCAGTGGGGGAAGTCTTTGACGGAAGGCAGCATTGGTTAATCGGGGCTGTACACCGGAGGGAAGCATCGGAGGGCCGCAAGTACTGCAGGCCAACAGCGTCCAAGAGATTTAATGCCCGAGCCTTGGAAGCTGGTCGGAAGTCTGTCGTCAGGACGGTTTCTCCGACGGTTTCTGCCGGGCATTTCAAGCCAACAAGAAGATTCCTGGCAGAACTAGATGATATGTTGACCACAAACCTCAGGGCAGCAGAAGGAGCTAAATGAAAGCAGGGCAGATTCGATTCTTTCTTGAGCCGGTTCCTTTGCGGGTTTTTGCGTATCGCGCCAAGTGCCGGTGACATCGATACAGGAAGCCAAGAAGGCAGGCGATCCAGCGATGGCGGAGTTCAGCACCCTGTGACCTGGGCTTGTGGAAGTGCCGACCTTTCCAGTTGATGTCGTGCTTTAAGGAACAGGTGGCTCAATGAATGGGCTGAAGTTACAGCCATCTCTGACTGTTAAAGTACATGTCATCCTTGGTGTATCGGAGTTTATGGCCGGCCTGCTGACAGAACGTCCACCTTCGCATGTTCAGCCGCACTTTTTTCAGGGGCGCGGCCGGACGCCGAAGGCTTTCACAGTGAAGAAGCAGGAAGAAGAGGAGGAAGAGGATGAGGCAAGACCGGCGGGCCTTTGCAAAGTTTCTTTGTGACCATGGAACCCCTCGATCCAAGAAATTAGAATTGGGTAGGTATTGCTGGGCCCATTTTTGAGTTTCCGTTTGATTTAGTATGGCCGGAGCTTTCTTTTGAGATTGGATTTGAGGGATTTGAGTTATGTTTTCGTATTGCTGGACTGGAATGTCCATTTGATTTGTTGTTGCTAGATTTGGGTTGCAATTCGATATAGTACTACTGGATTTGAGTTTACATTTGCGTTAGTATTGCGGGATTTGAGTTTCCATTTGTTCTGTGTGGCTTTCGCTTGGGCTGCAACGCATCATCATTGCTTTGTGGTTTGCCTCCTCGTGGTGGAATTGATAGGGGCAAGGGTTTCAAATATAAGACTATGTCGATACACGTGTGTGTATGTGTGTGTGTGTGTCCGTGTTTCTCGGAAAGTTATAGTTGTTACGCTGCCTTTGGTTAAGAAGTTAATTGCTTTTTGGATGAAGTTCAGGGTACAGTTTTTTGGAATTGATGTCATGTCGGTATTCTGTCTGTTTCTTGGAGACGATTTCAGTGGCCGTTATTTCAGGGGTTTATTAATTAATCGTCGTGGGGAGCTGGCTGGTCATTATTTGGCGGAATTCTGTGTGTGTTGACTTGTATCCCACCTGTGGCCAGGGCAACTTCGGGGAGGACGACGACACACCCGGAGTTGCCAGTGTGCAGGCAGATAATGACTCCAGGAATGAATTTTCATTGGGACGTTCTTGTAAAAGAGAGGGAGCTATAAGTTATATACATATATATATATATATGAGTGTGTATGCGTACGTTGGATGGCAAGGTTGGGAGTTTGTTGGTGGATGTATTTGGGTGGTTCTTCTGGTTGTTGTGCCAGGATCGTCGAAGTTTTGCAGAATCATTTCCGAGGCTCGCGTTGGAGTCAAGACCATTTGACGGCGCGGCCAGGGCATGGCCGCGGCTCGAAGGGCAACAGTCTGAAACTACGTGTGTTCAATCACATGTGTCTTCTTGAGGGCGGGAACCTTTGAAGGGAAGCCAGAAGGAACAACTCCATTTTAGGGGTTCCCCTATTTTGACGTATGCAGTACCCAGGAAGATGCATACAGGCAGTTTTTGTGTAGGCTTCGCCCATGTGGCTAAAATTCGGGGCAAGCACTGCCGCCACCGCAGTAGATTTGAGAAATCTTGCGAGTGGGGAGTCAACTCGAGTTGCCACGCGGGTTGACCCCATTGCAGGACACCCTTTTTGGACGAAGTTGATGTTGCATGATGGTTGGAAAAGGATGCCTGGTGGTTCATGGGGCTATGCTGATCATTTGGCAGGGGCAGAAACCACCCAGGAAGCCGTCCGGGCTCTCAGGGTCACTCAAACTGAAACCAGGGAAGGAAGCGAAGCCAGAGCCATTTACGTGAAGCGCGTGAAAGGCCATGGCCGTGGTGTCAGTTGCAGTAGGCTCTTAGGGCAGAGGAATTGTAACTGGGCCGAGCCGGGCTGGACATAGACTAAGTGGTCAGCATTTGTGGTTTCGTGTCGCCGTGTGTTGTCTTCCCAGGCGGCTCTCGGAGGGTGTTGGAGTGTTGACTGGGGGTGACTAACCATTCACAACGCTAAGACTTCCAGCACGCCTAAGTTCGGAGTAATTACCCCAATTTGCAGGGCTCTTGTAATGTTCAAAAAGCCTGAGCTTGAGCTTGCCTGGCGCTTCTTGCCAAGAGGATAGGACTCTTTCAGAAAACGTTGTAGTGTAGCCAGCGCCACGTCGAGTTTCGATCGCCATGTTAGCTTCATGCTGTGGAGCATCAGCTGACCACGTGTTGGCAATCTTTGTCGCTGCGCTCGCTGTGCTCGTTTGCCTGGTGTTTTGTTGGCCGCAATACGCTTGACGCTTTTTCGATGTCAAGGAGTCCTTGGAGTCCACGTGCCTTCAGGCTCCCTGTACTGCCCCTGGTGGTTGTTTTAGACATCATTCGGGCCAGTTATGCATGAGTCAATGCTGCATGAGGTTTGTTGTTCCTTTGGGTGTGCCCGTGCTGCGCTTGGCGGTGGCAAGCTGTCAGCCGGTCTCCTGAGCCCAGGCCTGGCAGACATTGGACGCAGTATGACGACAACTCGACCATTTGGTGGTGACCTCCGGGCATTGAATGGTGTGGGTGCTACCAAGCCGGCCATCAGACACCAAACCATGGAGTACGCGCTGACTTGCTGGAATTCAGAATGTGTGTGTGTGTGTGGTTGCAGTTGTGTTCGTGTGTGTGTGTGTGTGTGCGTGTATGTTTGTGTTTGTAATTGTGTTTGCGTGTGCGTCGTGTTTGTGGTTGTGTTTGTGTTTGTGTGTGTGTGTGCATGTTTGCGGTTGTGTTTGTGTGTGTGTGTTTGTGTGTTTGTGTTTGCGTGCGCGTCAGTTTGTGTTCGTTTGTGTGTGTGTGAGTGTGTGTGTGTGTGTGTGTGTGTGTGTGTGTTTGTGTGTTTGTGTGTTTGTGTCGTGTGTGGTTGTTTTTGTATTTGGGTGTGTGTGTGTGTTTTTGCTTGCGTGTTTGTGTTTGTGTTTGTATTTGTGCGTTTTTGCGTGTGCGGTTGTAGTTGTGTGTGTGTCTTTGTTGGTGTGTGTGTGTGTGTCTGCGCGTTTGTGTTTGCATGTATGTTTGTGTTTGTACTTGCGTGTGTGTGTGTGTGTTTCTATTTGCGTGCACGTTTGTGCTTGTATTTATGTGTGTGTGTTTGCGTGTGAGTTGGTGTGTGTGTGTGTGTTCTGCGTGTGTGTGAGTGTGTGTGAGTTTGTGTTTGCATGTGCGTTTGTGTTTGCGTTTGTGTGTGTGTGCGTGTGTGTTTGTGTTTACGTGTTCATTTGCGTATGCGTTTGTGTTTGTGTGTGTGTGTGTTTTTGTGTTTGCGTGGTTCCTGTTTGTACTTCTGTGTTTGTGTGTGTGCTTGTTTGTGTGTGTGTGTGTGTGCGTTTGTGTTTGTATTTGTGTGTGTGGTTGTGTGTGTTTGTATTTGCGTGTTCATTTGCGTATGCGTTTGTGTTTGTGTTTGTGTGCGTTTTCTGTGTTTGCCTGGTTCCTGTTTATACTTCTGTGTTTGTGTGTGTGTGCTTGTTTGTGTGTGTGTGTGTGTGCGTTTGTGTTTGTTTTTGTGTGTGTGGTTGTGTGTGTGTGCGCGTGCGTGTGCGTTTGTGTTTGTATTTGCGTGCGTTTTTGTGTTGGCGTGGTTCGTGTGTTTGTACTTCTGTTTCGGCGTGTGTGTGTGTGTGTGTGTGTGTGCGTGTGTGTTTGTGTGTGTGTGTGTTTGCGTGTGCGTTGTACTTGTGCCTGTGCTCGTTTGTGCGTCTGCATTTGTATTTGTGTGTGTGTTGTGCGTGTTTGTGTTTGCATGTGTGTGTGTGTCTGTGTTTGACTGTGTGTTTATATTTGTGCATGTGTGTCCGTGTTTGTTTTGCGTGTTCGTTTGTGTTTGTGTTTGTGTCGTGTTTGCATTTGTGCTTGCACTTGCGACTGTGTTTATGGTTGTGTTTGTGGTTGTGTTTGATTTTGTGTTAATGTGTGTGTGCGTGTGTTTGTGATTGTGTATTTGTTTGTGGTTGTGGTTGTGGTTGTGGTTGTGTGTTGTGTTTCTGTTTGGGTGTGCGGTTGTGTTTGTGGTTCTGTTCTGGTTGTGGTTGTGTTTCTGTTTATGTTTGTTGTTGCGTTTGTGGTTGTGGTTGTGTTTCTGTTTGGTAATGGGTTTGTGTTGATGGTTGTGTTCGTGTTTGTGATTTTGTTTAATGTTGTGGTTTCTTTGTATTTGTGGTTTTGTTTCTGGTTTTGTTTCTGGTTTTGTTTCTGGTTTTGTTTTTGTTTGGGTTTGTGGTTGTGGTTGCGGTTGTTTTTGTGGTGTTGTTTGTTTGTGTGGTTGTTTTGGTGTTTGTGGTTGTGTGTGTGTTTCTGTTTCTGGTTGGGTTTGTGGTTCTGTTTGCGTTTGTAAATTATTTTCGTGCGCGTGTGTTTGCCGTTGGCATTTGTATTGCTGGAAGGTCTGAGGACACATGCCCATGAACACTCAGCGTGGATGTAGGTATTATGAGGGTCCGAGAGGGCAGTGGTACATGGGCCCAGAGCACACAGAGCTGGCTCCTGAGTTGCCGGCCCGAGGGGCTCGTGAAATGCGGCACCTGATGCAAGGGAATGGACTTGCGCGTTTTCGTATTTGTTGTGGGGAGCGACTGTCCCGGCAAGAAAGTGCAGTTGCCAACAGAGCATGTCAAAAAGCAATAAACTCACGTGCCTGGTGATCCATGTGGGACATGTGACTTGAATATGTGTTGATGCGTTCCCTTGTTTTGTTTTCCCCCTCTCCGCACGTGAAAGAAAGCCCCCGTGAGGCCGCAGGTCTTCTTGGCCGGCGCGCCTGAAGAATGAGGTAGAGATGTTCAACGCGCGGTTGGGGTTTCTACACGATCTGATTGCTTGCCCAGCAGTAGCGCTGTGGGCTCGCAACAGCAGGGAACAGAATGGAAGTACATCTCATTTTTGGCCCTTCCAGCCCAACGGAACTGTATCCTGTGACATGCAGACGTAGATGAGATGCGCTTGAGTTTTATCCTCAAGGTGAAGAAAGTGTCTCGAGTGACCCTGCTCCCAGTCTTCCGGTGAAAGGAAGCGCCGTTCCTTAGTATCAGAACGACAGACGCGTGTGCTGTGTGCTTAGTTACCGTAGCCGTCAGCAGGCCAGTCAGAGTCAACTTGGAGAAACTCCCAAAGCCCAAAGCAGCCTATGACCCCGCTGCGCTTACATGGCAGGTTTGGCTTGTTGGCTCTCGGAACATCTCTGAATTGTCTGGCCTCGGATGGGCCGGGTGCGGAAGCTATACATCGCAAGCCCCGCGCTCGGCTTGCCGCCTAGCCAGGCGAGTAGCTCGACAGATCGCAGATCTCAAGAATCTGCAGGGACAAAAGTGCGGGCTTGGGCTTGGACTGACTCACGTCACGCGAGCAACCTGAGGCGTTTGTGCAAGGGCTCATTGAACGTCAGGAATTGGCCATTGGAATTCATGTTGTGGGCCATTTTTCTAAACTCATGCGCTTGCTCGATGCTTTTTGAGGTTCATTGTTGGCCTTCGATTCCAAAAGCTGCTCTTGATTCCAAAGCAGATTTGCTTTGTTTGCCTAGCAAACTGTGGGCACAAAAGCCCGGAACCCGAAAGGGCACCAGCTAGCAAGCTGAATATGCATAGTGCCGCGTCTTGGATTCCGGTTATTCCAAAAACAGCGTTCATTTCTCCAGGGCATTGTGCTCACATCGAGCAGATTTCTTGTATATATGTTCCAGACCCCCTCCCCGGGGGGGGGTTGGGGTAAAGTGGGGTTGGGTTAAGGTGTGGTTTGGGTTAGGGTTGGTTCAAGGTGGAATATAGGGTTGGTTTAGGTTTAAGGTTGGCTTGGGGTTGGGTTAGACTTGGTTTACGGTGGGTTTAGGGCAAGTTTGGGGGTGGTTTAGTAAGGGTTGACTTCGGTTGGGCCGGGGGCCGGGTGGCCGGGACCCTACCTTTGGGGGGGGTTGGTGGCCTGGGGACTGGAACATGTATAGGTGCACACGTAACTTTAGAGTACCTCGACAAATGGAGGCTTGTGTTAAGTTGTTTCGCACGTTCTTGCAGAATCAGCGCCCGCTGCTGGGCCAATCATTCAGATGACGGGCCATTTGGGCCTTTGGATGTCTGACTCCCCTCTGCCAAGCAGGTATCCTGGGCTCTGTGGGCCATTACACGCTCCTGCGGCCAGAGTCCCGCAAGCAATATGATTGCACAGAGGTGCCCAAAGCTCCCCACTTGCCACGACAAGCCTGGCCGCTTTCTATTCAGGGTGCCCATGAGTCCGGATTACCTTCACGGAAAGTGTCACTTGATGCATTCCGCTGACAGATGTGCCGGGCTCGGATGCGGCGAGTTGAGTCCCTTAAGGGGCTGCACGCAGGCACGTGGGTGGAGGTCCAGAAAGGTAAATTAGAAAACGCCTGGTGGTTTGAACATTTTGTAGCAGGGCCCCGAGTTTGAAGCATTGTCAGGGAAGCTCCCTGCTTGAGATAGCGTGGAAGGAAGGGTCTTCCTGGCGAAAGCATGCTAAACGACGCGCCCTGTGTTTGCAGCTGCTGTAGCATTTGAGCATGTACGTGTCCCTGACAGTCTGAAGGGTAGTCAGGAGGGCCTCCTTCCCGGCAGAATGGGTTTAGAAGCTGGTAAGAACATGTAAGAACCCTTCCTCTGGGGTCCTAGGTTCTTCCGGAAAGGGGAGTCCGTCCGTAGAGACGCCACCGGAGTTGTGCAGCCAACAGGGAAGCAAGACTGGAAGAAAATAAGGTTTGAGGATGTTTCTTGCAGTTGGATGGGTGGTCTTGTGAGGTTCCCGCGATGAATCCTGGCATGGGCATGGGCATGCCCATGATGCCAGGTGCAACTTGGACGCAATCAGAGGGCCTGTCCCAGAAAGGCAAGGTGTCACTATATTATGGGTCTGTGTTTTTTTACCGTGTCAGTTCTTTAGTCTTCGTGGGAGGTGGGGCTTGGGCGAGCCATACCCCCGAATCATACCCCGAACCATACCCCCGAGCCATACCCCGAGTCATACCCCTTAAAAAAGGGGTCTTGTCAAGAAACAGTGTTAGAGAGCTTGACATGTGGACCGATGCCAGGGGGTAGGGACTCCGAGGTGATACCTGGTTCACTTGCGGTTCCTGGGTCTATTCTTGAGTCTGCGATGCTTGCATGGTTGGGCTCTGATGTCATGGGGCCAAGTGCAGTTGACATGTCCACTCCACACTCACTGGTTACTCGTCGGGGGCCATTCTCGGTTACCCACCTCGGTCTCGGCTTGCTATTTTCAATGGAAAGTGCCAATGGATGGCTGGATGGAGTTATAGAGCAATCCTGCGGATGTCCTGGTACTAGAGTTGTCTGTAGCATCCGTGGTGCTGTGGCGGGGGGGTGCAGCTTGACGTAAGACGCTGGGACTTGCAGGGCGCTGTGGCGGGGGGTGCCGCTGCTGAGCTTGAGACTTGGAGCTTGCTTCCTGCAGTCTGTCCGACGCGATGGAAACAGCTGTCTGTCCTGGGCCACTGTCGCGGTGAAACACAAGCTGTCTTTGTGCTCCTGGGGTACTCTTGGTGTCTTTCCGGTCGAAAAAATCGGTCCCCCGATTCATACCCCCGATTCATACCCGATTCATACCCCGATTCATACCCTTCTAGCCTCTTGCGCTCTGGGCAGTACTAGCGAAGCTATGCCGCCCAAATCCTCAGAAGACACAAAACTCAAAGAGAAGCACGGCAGGAAGCAGCTCGCGGCTCTATTTGCAGAAGTTCGCCAGAAGGTGGGCTCGGAAGGCTTCCTGCGATGTATCAAGCGCGACACGGTGCACCACCTGTGAGAGGCCCACTAGCCTCTGCGCGGCTGCCGTTTGAGGATGTCACGCTGTCTTGCCCTTACGCTGGTTCGTGACTGGTGCGGGTGGCGGGCCTGACTGGGCAGCGGCGCTTCCCCTTAAGCAACGCTTGCTTTGTTGTGTGGAGAGCCACTGCCTGAGGCGAACGTCATGGCCACCTCCACTTGGAGTTCAAGCGACCCGCAGCTTTCGCTAACTGCAGTGTCCAAAGCCACAAAGCAAGAGTTCAGAGGCGTGCGAGCCATACCCCGAATCATACCCCCGAGCCATACCCCGACCCATACCTGCGATTCATACCCCTTATACCAACCTCCCGGCACGGCCACGTCAAAAAAACATACCCATATGGAAGAAAGCGGGAAGGGTCAAGAGGACAGGCGAAAGCGGGACCGTGAGCATGGAAGGGTGCAGGAAGAGCGTGAAAAGAGCAAGAACAGCGTTGCAGAGATGGAAGAAACAACGGACGACATACGCGCAAATACAGTAGATGAGACGCAGAAGAGAAAGAAGTGAGCTGAAACTCAAAATGAAACAATAGAGCTTACTGTCTCGTCAGGCCAGGAGCATTGGCACTAGACAAAGGGACGGGAGCTGCTAATCTGCCCAACTTGGACTGCAAGCGCGCTCCCGCGCAACCGCAAAAAGGAGTCCTCCCCATAGGGCCGACGTTTCAAGAAGCTCAGCTGAGTTGCAATGCAAAGTAGTACTTGTTGACATGCCAGTGTACGCATGTACGTGCACGGTAGTGCTCAAGCCGCACTAGCTGATTTTGAGCGAGGTTCCTGCAGCATGCCTCCGCGTATGCGAGAACGTGCAAACACGGCAAACATGAGTTTCCGAATTTGCACGGGAGGTTTCGCGGACGCAGAGCGCAATGAGGTATCAGAGCTGGGTTGGTCCATGGGCACGTGCGTTTGGGCATTTTCAAGTATGCATGGCTGACAACTCATTAACCATCCGATGGGCTCGTTGCACTTACGTGGGGTGGGAGAAAAGGGATTGGCACGAGCGGTGGTCAAACAGCTGTTCCTGCCAATGTTCGGCAAAAAACAAAAAACGAAAAGCAAAAGTGAGTCCTCATCAAGAAGTGAATGCATCCCGGTTTAGATGGCTTTGTAGTGTTTGCACCTGTTTGCCTCTAACACTTTCGGACTGGCGATTCCCTGACTTTCCGCTTTTGTTTTAAATTATGTAAGGCTTGCACTAGGTTTCAGCTTTTCGCTGCCAGTTCACTTCATTCTGAGTTACCCTTGGTCGTTCATGTTGTCCCACCTGGGCCGGCTCTAAGCTGCTCCTCTTGAGCTGCGCCCGAGGGGATGCAGATGATGCCCGGCATGATGCCAGGCATGGCCCCTGACGCAGGCCACGCATCAGACATATTCCAGCGCCCTTGCCACAATGGCTTGGTTTCACCATGGCTTAATGTCAAGCGAGAAGGAGATGGATTGAAACATCTTGAAGCGGTTGAAACGTGGATCGTGGATTGGAGCCTTGCCCGGCGTCCGTCCTGTCCGTCCCTCGAAACCGCACACAGGCGCCACTCCCTTTCTTTCGCCAGGAGCCATCCAAGCAGAAAAAATCAAGCAGGCGCGCTTTGAGGCCTCGGTCGGGGCTTATTGGAAGTGTCGCAGATGCCTGGAGTCTTCAGCTTGCGAACTGCTCCGGGGGCTTTTGAGCCCAAGGCTGTGTGACAGTGGTTGCAATGGCTACACAGCAAAGAGTGAGCCACCATGGAGCAGCAGAACAAGAGGCTGTCAAAGGAAGCAAACTGCGGCCAACGGTGCCAATCCAGTTTGAGTTGTTTTGACAGGGAGCAGCGCCTGTGAAAGCAGGTCGTTACCAGCCGCTTGTTGCTACTGTATGTGTTCAATGTTGTGGTGGCCTTTCTCCCGTCGATTTTGTCTGAAGAGCCACCTGGAAGGGAAAGAGTTGTTGGCCACAGTGTGTTCGATGCAATGGCAATAAGAGGGAGAAAAGCAACGGCATGCTGGCATTACTCTCAGAAGTATTGGTTGTTGCTGCTGTTGCCTTGTTTCTGCAACATGTTGCACAGCACAGCTTCGCTGCATCGCTGGCAGGGTTGGCGCAATATTGCCAATGCTTTGGCCAGCGCCGCTTCCGGTCAGACCACATTGTCATTTCACACCTCAAAGGCCACAGCCAGAAGAGCGTTTTAAAGTGTTGTACTTTGCGCGTTCGAAGAGTCAAGGTTGACAAGCCTGGAAAACAACAGCCAACCCTCAAGGCCAGCCTCAACTACAAAACCCAGGCATGCCTTTTGCTTTCCTACTGCGGACCTGGGAGAAGGCCGGAGAGGTCTGCGCTAGTCGGCAGGAAAAAGCAGCTTGGGAAGGGCTACTAAACCAGGGGCAAACAATGTGCCTTGTCTATCCAGGCAGTGGTCACAAGGAAGACCACTGCGAAGGATGCTGAGAAGGCGGGCCCTGCACTCGAAGGTTCCGGATGGAAAGACGGCTTCATGTACATTTGGAACTCGCATCAGCATGGCTTTCATGGCCCCTAGGGTTCTGCTTCGTTTGATGCAGTGCTGCCTGATGTCATGTCACGCCAACATTGGCGCGGTGAGGACGTTCTTGGTCCTTGTCAGGTTTCCTTCAAGGAGGTCACGTGCAGATTTAGTTTTGCAAGGTCAGGTGCAGAATTTGTGGCAGGCACAGCACTTTTGCAAGATCAGGTGCGGCTTTCCTGGCAGGCGCAGCGCTTTCAGAAGATAGAAAAATAAATAGATGGACCTATAGGAAAAATAGCTAGATACCTAGATAGCTAGATAGCTAGATAGCTAGAGAAGTTGATGCTGCGCTGACAATAAGGAGGGTTGGGCACGGGTTTACAGGCAAAAAGGCCGGCATGCCTTGCGAGCAAGCAAGAGAAGGTAGGAGAAAGATTGGAGAAAGACAAATAAAGAAAGACAAAGAGGACGAACCAAGAGGTAAACAGGGCGGAGAAAGAGAAAAGAAATATGACAAACAGAGAAACAGAAGGAGAGACAGAGAGAAAGACAGGGAGGAGAAAAAGAAAGAGCAAGACACCTATCCAACAACCGGCTTCGCCGGCTCTACTGGAAGGTCAGCGTGCTTCCTTTTCGGCAACCAAACAACTCACGAGTGCTTGCGGACGGGGAAGCGGGAAGTGGTGGCCCAGGAGGCACACTTTCATTGTGGTGTAGGTCCCTTGCATGGTAGCACGCAGGGCGCGCGAATCCACTAGCCTTCAAAAGCAGCCGCAGACACCACAAGCATTCTCCACGAATTGCCAATGCCGGCGCAACACTCGAGGGGTTCACTTTTGAACCAAGCAAACGGAATCGCTCAGGGAAGTGCCCTTTCACGATTTTGGCATAATTTTGCAAGAAGCTCATGGAAGCACTTTTGTAAACGTAAGCCTCAGGCAAGGTGCCCCTGACACTGCGTCAAGCTTTGCGGAAGGATTTATTTGTTACTTCAAGTTGGAAGGGAATCTCTAGCACCACCAAATGGCTGTGGAAAAAGCGATTCCTTTCCATGAATGTCCTGGATTGGTCCCACTTGTTGTGTTTTCACATGCTCTGCCCCAAGCCAGGTTACCACGGTCTTTGTCGGCGGTCTCCGGAAGAGCACCTCCGAAGATAAGGTCATTGGACACTTCGCCAAGTATGGCCAGGCTGGACGGGCCAAGGTTTGAGCTGCGTTGGCGTCACAAAAGCCCACTTTAGTATACCCTCAAGGAAACACACGGACACACCCACTCCCACACTCACATCCGAACCTTCCCACGCAACACAAATGTACATACGGCAGTTTTGGTTTTCAAAACTAGGGTTGTCTTGTTTAAACAAGGACGTAGACACACACACAAACACAAACACACACACACACACACATGCACATGCACACACACACACCAACACAACACAACACAACACAACACAACACAACACAACACAACACACCACAACACAACACAACACAACACAACACAACACAACCCAACCCAACACAACACAACACAACACAAAACAACACAACACAACACAACACAACACAACACAACACAACACAACACAACACACACACATCACACACATCACACACATCACACACATCACACACATCACACACATCACACACATCACACACATCACACACATCACACACATCACACACATCGCACACATCACACACATCACACACATCACACACATCACACACATCACACACATCACACACATCACACACATCACACACACATCACACACAGACACACAGACACACAGACACACAGACACACACAGACACACACATCACACACATCACACACATCACACACATCACACACATCACACACATCACACACATCACACACACATCACACACATCACACACATCACACACAGCACACGCAGCACACACAGCACACACATATCACACACATATCACACACATATCACACACACATCACACACATCACACACATCACACACATCACACACAGCACACACAGCACACACAGCACACACATATCACACACATATCACACACATATCACACACATATCACACACATATCACACACATATCACACACACACATATCACACACATATCACACACATATCACACACATATCACACACATATCACACACATATCACACACATATCACACACATATCACACACATATCACACACATATCACACACATATCACACACACATCACACACATCGCACACATCGCACACATCACACACATCACACACATCACACACATCACACACATCACACACATCACACACACATCACACACATCACACACACATCACACACATCACACACATCACACACATCACACACAGACACACAGACACATATGACATATGACACACAGACACACGCACACGCACGCACGCACGCACGCACAGACACACAGACACACAGACACACAGACACACAGACACACAGACACACACAGACACAGAGACACAGAGACACAGAGACACAGAGACAAGAGACACAGAGACACAGACACACAGACACACAGAGACACAGAGACACACAGACACACAGACACACACAGACACACACAGACACACACACACAGACACACACACACAGACACACACACACATGTTTTTTCTTAATTATAGGTGTATATATATATACATCTATACTACATACACAGGCACGAGCGTTTTGAACAGTAACACACGGTGTATAAGTATATCTATGTATGAATGCATATACAACACACACATGCATACATATATGTTTGTATGTATATACATACATATTACGAATTGTCCATTGAGCTTGACGTCTTCGGTGCAGGTGGACAGCGTGGACATCAAGAGGTTGCCAGATGGCAGTTCCAGAGGCTTCGCGTTTGTGAAATTCAATGACAAGGCGCATCGCCTAGGGTGGGGGAGAGAGATGCCTTTTCATGTGGCTGTCGTTGTCAAAACCGTTTTGGGATCCCATTTTGGTTGGTAGGTGAACTCACCACCCGTTTTAGAACCTATTGTAGTGGGGATTGGGATGTTCACTGAGGGTACGGGCTTTTGACCCATGGCCATGCCTGGCCTGCACCAACGCATTGCTTCCCTTGTCTGGATCTGGCAGATGGGTGCCAGGCTGCAAAAGCAGGTGCATTCCCAGCTTCTGGTTTCCCCTGCTGGCGGCAAGAGGTAACCATGCTAATTCCAGACTTGGTGCGTTTTTGTTTTTTTTTTAAATCTTTTTGGGCGATCAAACGGGGTTATCAGTCGTTGGGTTGGCTCCAGGCAGTGTTTCCGCAACTTCGAATGCCGACAGGAGTCAGTGGACAAAGTGATAGAGGCTAAGGCCAATCACATGATTGACAACAAGCATCTCGGCAAATGTGGTTTTGGACTCGCGGTGCTTGGCAGCTCTTGATGTGGCAAGTACGCAGTTTGCTGGCATGTACTTGGAGGGCGGTGGGACTAGTGGCTATTTGTCAAAACCCTGTACCCCCAGTAAACCTCCCAATCCCCACGAAAATAGACAAACATGGGTGGTACCATTCGTGTTGACCCACGGCCATGTCACAAATGACGGCTTTCTACCGTGGAGCCATTTGCCTTCCCAGGTGGGTGGCAGTGCGACCCCATGGGGGCTCCGCCTTTCAGGCGGCACAGCACGCGGAAAGGGCCAAGGACATGGTGCAGAGGGAGAAGGCGGGGCAGTCAGCCCAACAACTTGCACGCCGGGCAATGGTGTTTGGGCTGGTTTGTTGGTTTTGTTGGTTTGTTGGTTTTGTTGGGTTTGGCTCGTGTTAGGTTTGATTGGTTACATGGCTGGATTTGCATGAGTTTACGCTTGTGGAGTGGCTACAAGCTGGTAACCCTCAACCCAGCCGCGGGGGTAAGACAACCTCTAGGGCAGGACGCCAGGCTCCATGGAAGGGACCGGCTTTTGGACAGAAATGTTGGATTGCACCAGTGGCTTGGATTAGGTGGTGGTTGATTGGCCTTTGCCGGGACCAAACGTCAACATGCAAGTTATTCGGAGAGTGCGGACATTTGCTCGGAGTCGCCCCGACTTTAGCCAGAAAGAACCAGTTTGCCCAGGACAAGAAGGAGTCCGAAGGTCCAGCCACACAAGTTGCCTGGCTGCATGCAGAGCCCTGAGGCATCTTGGGATCAACCCGATTTTGCCGGCTGACCGATGCGGGTTGGCATGGCAGCTCGGCCAGCCTGAGCTGCCACTCAGAACTCCAAGTATCAAAGGGGATTCTCAGAGGCCTTGTTTGAACCAACCTGGTTTGACATATCAAGGGTGTCATTTTGCATGAATTGTTTTGATTCGCCTTTCCTGGGTATGTCCAGAAATCACGCCTCTCAGGATGACTATGAGGAGAAGTGGTCTGAGAAGTACTTGCAGCAAGCTGCCTCGCTACAAGATAGCAGAGAAGAAGAGGAAGACAAGGAAAAAGACACCCCCATGAACCCCATGATGGCCATGATGATGAACCCCATGATGCAGATGATGATGAATCCCATGATGATGGGTGGCATGAACCCAATGATGATGGGTGCCCGGCCCATGATGGGCTGCGCCTGTGGGGGGTGCCCGGGCGCGGGCGGCGGCGGCGAGACTGGCGGCGGCAGCACTGGCGCTGCGGAGGGTGCTCCAAGCTCATCCGGCAGCCCAGGAGGGGTTTGTTGGGCTCTCCTTGTTTTAGTCGGCTTTCCTTGTAGCATTGCATCCAACTCTGTATTTCTAGCTCAGGCCTGTGAGATAAAAGCTTGTTTGGGCTTGATTGATCATGCCGAACATGCTCACTTGGAAGTTGCAAAAGATGCCCAGGAGGCTGCATGCCAGGGTGCGGCTGCATGCCTTGCTGCATGGGAGGATGCATGCCAGGCGCGAACAAAGTGCGAACATGCGACCAAACTCTAGGAAACCCAGAAGTGATTGTCCAACCCTTCGTGCCACAGGTTCCAGCTCCGATTCTTGATGGCCACCAGAAATGCACGAGTTTCTTCCGACATATTGAAGTATTGGGTTTCTTCTTTGGGGAGTATTTTGTCTTTTGGTTTACCTCTTATCGCCCTTGCCACGGGAGGGGGCAAGTGTTGATGGAAGAGACTCCGTGTGTCCAGCGGCTAGCAGCGGATGCTCGTGGGCTCCATGTGGCAAGCCACTTGCTGGCCGCGAGTCAGGTTGCATGGGTGGCTGCCCCTGTGGTGGCTGCTGCGGCTGTGGCGGTTGCGGCTGTGGCATGATGCCAATGGGCATGAGCATGCCGGGTATGCCGAGCCTGCCTGCAGGCAGCTTGTGCAGCAGAGTGATTCGGCCCCCGTGCAAGAATGACGTGTAACACAGGCCATTTGAGCAGCGCCAAAAACCATTCTTGAAAAGGGAAGTTGCGGGGCTCTCCTATCGAGGCCTTGCGAAAGATTGCGAAAGCTAAAATGCAGGGCACGAAAGACCGCGAAAGCTTGGGCGAAAGTGGTTGAAAAGCCGCCGCGAAGCCGTCGCGAAAGTGCACCTTTACAGTTTCTATGTAGTCGTCGTGGGCAGCATCAAGTTTGTTTTGAAGGCCTTAAGCTGCGAGGACGTTAAAGCTATAGGAAAAATTGGCGGACCTGGCACTAGCGAGACCGGCCCTTGAAGGCTTGGCCTTCTGGTCTTTTAGCAGGGCGATCTGGAGGCAGTTGCTGTTTGGTCCCCTAGCACATCATCTTGAATGCCTCGCTGGAACTGAAAGGGCGACGGCTCCACGTTGATTCGGCTTTCGCCGCATAGCTCATCGCGATCTCTCTGGAAGGTTTCACCATTGCGTCTTCAGGCCAGAGGTCGCGGACTCGAGTAGCTAAGGTGCCGCCAAGCCGGCGGAAACCTCACCGGAAGGCAGGGGACGCGGTCGCAAACGACGTTTCGCATGACGAATGCCAAGTGACAGAAACGATGAGGTCAACATGTTCGGTGTTGGTCATTCTTGACTGGAGGCAATTGGACCATAAGATCAGCCCTTTTTGCGGAAAGGAGCCTCTTTTCCATTGCGGTCCTTGGAGCCAGCCGGTTTTAATGGGGAAGCCTGCTTCTTTTCGTCGGCTGCCAGGCGAGACGCCCGAAGGCGCGGTTCGTGTTGGCGTTTTGGGTGGTGAGCCTATAGGGCGAGCTTCGTAAGGCAAACTCACCCATCCATGTTGGATGCTTTCAAGGAATGGATGGTTTAGGATTGATTCGGGAATCGAGATGCGTTTGAGATGTGATGGCCTCGAGACTCCAATGGCTTGGAGAGGTGTGGCGAATGGCCAGCCAGCATGAAGAACTGAAGAGAGAGAGAGAGAGAGAGACACAACGGCAAGGCGCTTTCATCGTTTTTCATCAAACTGCGGGGCTGTGGCACTTTGAGATAACAGCATGTTTCAGTGGCCCATTGCGGACTTGGCGCGACCTGTTGTGGGATGATAATGATGAAATTGCGTTTCGCGGTGCTTGCCGCTAGTGTTTGCTTGCTCCGATTGCTGAGTTTGGTGAAGACCACTCATAATGAGAAAGTTTGGCGTAGTACTCTATTCATGCTGCCAACCACCAAGAGTTTGCTTGAGGCCAAATACCAGTCAGAGTGAAAACCGACCCTGAATGGACAGCCATAGTGGGCCATAGCTCAGACGGCGATTTGTGTCGAAGGGTGATAAGTGCAATGACTTCCTTCATTTTTTGGGGATCCATTCTTCTATTGGCTAGGTGAGCAGTGGTTGTTTGAGCTGGGATTGTGGTTGGCTGCTGGATCTACAGGGTAATTTGCATGCCGCCCGCGCAAGGCAGCGGCGGCCCGGTCAAGGAGGGAGGCGGCGAGAACCGCTTCCAGCCATACTGAGTGTAGATGTAGTAGGATTTACACGAAGCAGATGCCTCAGATTCTGAAAGTTTTGCAACGGAATCTCTTGAGATGGTCCCGCCCTGTGAAGGCAAATGGAATTGAGACCTTTAGCAATCACCTGAGCACAGCATAGTGGTATAGTACAGCTAGAATTTGAGAACAAGTTCTGGATATGTTCGGGGTGAGGCGCACCTTTTAGAAGCTGAGGACTTCGCGCTGTGGGCTTGATCAGTCCTGTGCTGGCCATTGGGCTTGAGATCCCGGGATGGGATTCGAGCCATGGCTCAGCTGCACCGCAGATCCGGCCACAGGACTTACCGGGCCGCGGTGCGCGGTGTTGTGCTTCCTCGGCCATACAGTGCACATACCACCAGCTAGGAAGCTACACAGATTGAATGCAACCAGTTCCCCCCCCCCCCTAGCTTGACAGCACCCCCTTTTTGATTCATGGGCGTTGGGGATCCCACATCCTGCCCAGAATTTGGTGGCGTTGGCTATGTTGACCCAACATGATCGAGAAGTCGTGAGAAGGAAGCTGGTGCAGCATTTCCGGGGCATACCGCCTCACGGAAAATGCCATCAGTGGTAATTCGCCTGTGCTGAAAGCAGCTCATCACCCGGCAGGCCTGCCCTTCCCTGCAGGGGCCCGGAGTTGGAAGCATGCCACTGCGGCAAAAGAGCATGTGATTTCTCTTCAGGTTCGGGCCATTCGGGTTCCTGAAACTAACGTACCATTTTGTGGGTACAGTAGCCTTGAGCAGTGCCGGGTCCATTCCTATTTCCCATGGGGCTCCGGGGCTGATGCTACGTGTTGGACCGAGGTTCGGCATTGGGTCAGAGGCATCTTTAAAGTACATCACACAGACCTGAACGGAGAACAATGTCATGGTGAAGGTCATTCAATGTGCCGTTCGCCTTGCAAGAGTTCACTATGTTGAAATTCGGACCCCAGCTTGCAGCTGCTGGATCAAGCGACCTAATCCGCGTTCCAGATGCCAGCAAGGGCACCCTTGATGTTGACAGCGTCACTCCCAATCACCACGCGTAATGTCCATTTCCTTCCAGGCCGGACTGGTGTCATTTCTTACTCGTTCGGCCCGACGTGCAATGGCATGCGTCCGCTTGTCCAGCGGCCGCGAGGTGATGACCGCAGGCGAGTTTTCTGGCTGGTGGCAAGATCGGCGCGAGGCCCGCGAGAGCGGCCTTGCCTTCTTCCACTTGCTGCGAAGGGAAGTGGCGGCTCGATTGGGGATGCCCTACTACAGGCAGCTCGCGCTGGCACAGGGCAACCGCACCCTGGACCCAGCGAGCCCGTGGCAGAACTCGGAGTCAATGGTGGCGGTGGTAAGGCCATTCGCCCAAACGACGCCAGCGTTGCTTCTCCAGGCAGCTGGCAGTGGCAACATGGAGCAACTTGAAGCTCTTTTGGACGAGCCCCACGACCCAAACACAGTTTTCAGTAGCAGTGGTGAATTGACTGCTTTGCATGAAGCAGCTCAAAGTAATCAGTTGGAAGTGGTGAGCTGCTTGCTCGAAGCTGGCGCTGATAAAGACAAGGCCAACCACGATGGCCAAACACCATTGTTTGTTGCAGCTTCCCAGGGCTATTTGGAAGTGGCTCTATGCTTGCTAGAAGCCGGTGCTGATACGGACACAGTTGACAAAATCGGCTGCACGCCTTTGTACATTGCCGCTGCTGTCGGCCATCCAGAAGTTGTGCGTTGCTTGCTGGAAGCAGGTGCTGACAAGGACATGGCAGATAACGACGGCCAGACGCCACTGTTTGGTGCTGCCTCAAATGGCTGTCAAGAAATTGTACGTTGTTTACTGAAAGCTGGCGCTGACAAGGACAAGGTCGACAAGATTGGCTGCACGCCTTTGTACGTTGCTGCAGCTCATGGCCATCAAGAGGTAGCAGCCTGTTTGCTGCAAGTGGGCGCTGACCAAGATAAACCAAACCAACAAGGCTGCACGTCGATGCATGCTGCCGCTGCGGGTGGTCACGCCGAAGTTGTGCGTTGTTTGCTCAAAGCTGGTGCCAAAAAGGATGAGGCCAATCGTCACGGCTACACCCCAGTATACGTTGCTGCAGCAATTGGGCATCATGAGGTTGCACATTGCCTGCTGGAAGCCAAGGTTGACTTGGACAAGGCTGACGATGTCGGTCAATCACCGCTTCATGTCGCTGCTGCTAATGGCCACCTTCAAATTGTGCGCTACTTGCTGAAAGCGGGGGCCAACAAGGACAAGGCCAACGACGATGGCCAGACGCCTTTGCTCGATGCTGCTGCCCATGGGCACCAAGGAATAGTCCGGTGCCTGCTGGTGGCCGGTGCTGACAAGAATCACTCAAACAGTCAGGGATACACTCCTTTGTACCTTGCCGCGGCAATAGGGCATCGGCAAGTTGTGCATTGCCTGCTGGAAGCTGAGGTTGACTTGGACAAATCCAACCATCAAGGCGACACTCCCCTGTATGCCGCTGCGGCCACTGGCCACTACGATGTTGTGCAGTGCTTGCTTCAAGCCGGCGCCGGAAAAGACAAGGCCAACAGCCTAGGATACACACCAATATACGTTGCTGCGGCGATCGGACATGAGGACATTGTGAGTTGCTTGCTCGCAGCAGGCGCTGACAAGGACAAGGCCGACAACGATGGCCAGACCCCCATGTGCGTGGCTACTGCAAATTGCCATGATTCAATTGTTCGTTGCATGCGGGAGGCGGGCAAGAAGCAGGCAGTTGCACATGCAGCAAAAGCCAAAGCCAGCAATGAAAGGAGGCACACTCACGGCTACACGCGCTGCTATCAACCAGCTGCGCCGCAAAAGGGTGGACACCCGCGCCAAGCAAGTGGAAAGGTCAGGGCCAAAGCACCTGACCCTGGATGGGCTTTGGCTAGGCAACATGTTGTTGTTTTTTTTGAGCGCCAAGCAAGCAGCTCAAACAAAAGCTTCCATGTTTGACTGGATTAGGATTCTTGAGCTACACCCGCTTCACGTTGGCATCTATGGCTTGCAATGGCGGTGGTTGTAATGGGTTGGGATGCCGGTTTGTTGTCCAACCGTCTTGGTTTGTCACATTTGTGCTTTCATTCGGCACAGACGGAGATTGATCGAATGAAAAGTAGTGGAGGCGCCTTGAACATTGTGTCCCGCTGCCAGATGGCCCAAGTCTGTGTTAGCTAGCAGCGCGCGCCTGGCATCAGCGTTCGCCAGGCTCGGTCATTTACACAGGGCTAAAGGACTTGTTTGCCATACTGTGCCTTAAGACGGGGAGAAATGCATAGAATTGCCAAGTGCTGTTTGGCAAGCAACCTACCAAATTGTCAGTGGCAAGCTCAGATTGTCAGTTGCAAGCTCAGGCAGGCAAAACTGAATCATACTTCCATAACTTTGGTTGCAGGTTGGAGGTAAAGGGGGTCTGTTTGAGTAGCTTGGCCCTGACATGCTTCCGTGCGATTGCCAGGCATGATGATGCCAGGGGTGCCCTGTCTGCACCGTATTTGTCTAGCTTGTTGGCGGCACCGGACGCTTGTTGTCACTGACAAGCCTGGCCTTTTCAGCACCGGCCGTGGCTCATCATGCTGTGATCCAAGAAGCGGAGGCACTGAATTCTCTTCCTGGGTTTGCAATCTGTGGACATGTTGGGCCAGTCACTGGCACCGACGTAGTGGTGCCATATGCTTGGTATGATCGCAAGGCAGAAACGCTAAGAAACCCAGCCATGCTTGAACGTCCTTTGCTCTAGCTTGCTGGGTTTTTTACATGCTGCGGGCCATCACCAAGAGTTTGATTCGTTTGCTCATTCTTTCTTGCGGATGTGCTATGAAGACAGCTTGTCCCTTGACTCGAGGCGATGCCAATGGGCGTCATGCCGGCCATGGGCGCAGGACCTGCACCCGATGGCTGTTGTTCTCTTGAGTTTGCTGTGCTACCCCGCGAGGGGACAGTGGGATGCTCCTCTCTTGAGTTCGGTCTGCCCTTGTGCTGGGTGAATTTCATGAAGATCAACAAATCGATGCCCTAAGCCCTTGATTGAGTGGCTAC